TAAAATTTTAGACTTGTAACAAGGCAAGATTTTATACTTAAAATACAATATATATCTTCCTTGTTAGGAAGGGTTTAACACAAGGCCTACCATAAGGGCCCATCCACCTGCACTTCTTAGCACCATCCAAAAATACAGGAAAAACGAATTTCAAAACCTATATTAAACTTTGAATGGTGTCTAGCTACTTAGAATAAATGATACTTAGCTACATGAAGATACTGCAGTTACTATATACAGGTTTGTTTTCAAATTATAATTAGGATTGGCACACTTGCTTTCCAAATGTGACTTTATGTTTGGCAAGTGGGTAAAAGTATTGAATTCAAACTATACTAAAAACAAACCATACCAAAATATTGTCAGTCCTTCATCAACTGCATCTAATATTGACTCTCTATTCAAATCCATCACTAGAACTTTAGGTTAAAGAGTGGCAATCAACTCTATCACCAAAGCAGTCCTGAAGTAAAGTTAATCTTTCACTAACTACATCTAGTATTGACCTTTTATTCATACCTATTACTAGAACTTTAGGCTAAGAGATGACAATTAACTTTGCTATGAGATAGCTCTAGAGGATATGTTTTGATTAAAGAATAATTTGAACCTGGAAGGTAGAGAGAGAAGGCTTATACATAAAGTATTAGATTGTTAAAAAGAGTGTTGGACATAAGGAAGTGGGAGTTTTCTTATAAGTGTTGATACCTAACCTTATACACCAGACCTATATTGTCGAAAAGGTGAACAGAGAACTTTTGTTATCATCACTAATTTATGTTATGGAGGTAACTAAAATCCTTGGTCTCACATATTATCTTATTAGATTTTTCTAACCACCAGCATGGTACTTGCAGCTAACCTAGCATTATATTAGTACATTGGCATTGGCTATCACATTACTCTGGAAATAGTGGGGTATAACTTCTTGGATACTTTCAGATAATAATAGTTGTACACCAGTTTCTTAGATATATCCAGTCTAAAAAAGCCATCACTTAGTAAACAACACCAGATTTGGCAATGATGGCTATGTTAATCTTTTGGAGAGGTAAACTGTCTATCCTTTTTCTGAAAAACCATGGAAAAGAAAAATTTTCTGAAGCCCACACCTTAAGAGAAATTATTGCTTCTTAATATGACCCTTGAGAAAAGAAAACTAACTGACCAGAGGATTAATACTATGAAGAGTAATTTTTTTTCAAAAGAAAGAAAAACCTAAAAAGAAAAACCTTCAGATAAAAGAAAAAAATCTAACTTTGGCAGAAAGATGAATAAGTGAAGAAGGAGAGAATATAAATGAAAAAAAGTATAAAGAAGGGAAGGAAAAGCATAAGGTAGAGGGAATAAAAAAGAATAGGGAAGGGAAAGTAGAGAAAAAGGGAAAGAAGAAGATGAAAAAAAAGTAAACAACTCAAAAATTTCTTAAAAAGGAAATTTTCAAGCACCAAAGAGGAAGTAGAAAAAAATTTTTTTAAGTAAACATTATTTATTTATTTATTTGTATAATAATAGATATACATTGTAAAAGAAATAACATCTTTCATATGTACTAGTACAACAAGTTAAATACTAGCTTGCCTATAGTAACCACTAGACTAATATTGAAAAGAAATTTTTAAAACAATATATTTTATCAAGTGGCTCTGAGCAGCTATAATTATCTACTCAGCATTGGGTAGGAAAAAGTTAGAAAGATCTGAAATTAGTTTAGAAATACATTTAGTGAAGTATAAAAACTATTAATATAATAATAATAAACCTATTATTTAAATAAAGTTTTATATTTAATACTTATTTGTAATTAAAAAAAATTATTTACTATATATTATTAATTTGTATTATTTATTTATAAATAATTATATATTTTTTAAATTAATATAGTTTCTTTTATATTGTTATAGTATAATATAATATTGTTAATTAAAAAACTATTTTATTGTATTTTATATTTAAAAATTGTATTTTTTTATATTAAATTTTTTTTTTCAAAAATATAAAATAAATAATATTATTTTTTAATAAATATTTATTAAGTTTTATTTCAATAAAGCAACAATTGTTTAAATAGATTTTTATGCAACTCAAAATTTTTTTATTTATTTATATTGAGTTTGTTATATTTTACAATAAAAAACAAAAATTGTTTTTTTTTTATAAAGAAAAAAAAATATTCATTGCTTTGATTGTTTATTGATTTAAGATTTGTAATATATAATTCAACAAAAAAATTTTTTTTTGTTTTTTATTATTAGAAAAAATAATAATTTTTTAAAAAGCTTATTTTTTATCAAATATACATTTTAATAAGATTAAAATAATTTTATCTGATGTTAACAAGTTTACTTAATATTATAACATTTTTTGTACTATGTGTATTTTAAATACAGTATAATTCATTTGATACAAAAAGAATAAAAAAAGTTGTATCTAATGCTTTAAAAAAAAAGTATTGTAAAAGTAAAATCCATAATTGATCATATATTAATCGCGCATATAATTGCAAGGTATTAATATATAATATCAAAATATTTGAATCTTTCAGGTGGATGGGAAATGGTATGAGAATTTATATGGAAAATTAATAATTGTGTAATATGTTGAATAAGCTTTGATTTACAAAAGTTTATAAATAATCGAGCTAAAGAGCTATATGACAATCGGTTTTGAAAAAAAAAATCAGGTTTGTTTTCAGACAGTTTTGGCTGCACGGAGTTTTATTGCATTTCAAATTTCATAGACACGAATACATTATCAAGTGTGATTGACATTTCTTTATGATAAATAACTGAACTCAAAATCTTTATTTCTTGGCGTTACAAAAATCATCATCCTGTGTCACTTGTCTGCTATGTGTGTATATACGTGGCTATAGTAAAGATAAAAATGGATATGCCGAAAATGTCGTGCTTAAAAATGAATGTGAATTCTATTATCAAACTCCAGACGCCTTTCTTATTATTATTAACACCTTCTTACCATCTCTACACATCTTTACCATTGTTGTCACGATCACACATTCATTCGTCCCTTACATTGATGGACTTACGGTAACCGAGCAATTACCATGGTTACCGTTTATCACACGTTCAGGGGTTCTCTCTAGGCGACAGCTAATTAGTTGATTTTCGTGTAGCCATTACACATAAAACTTACGTTAAGGGTAAACTCGATAGAACTTGGTATTTTTGAATGAAAGAGAAAAAAAGAACGCGGACGGTAATTGTGGGGTAGTCGAATGGAAACGTGAAATAGTCCTAAATATTAGATTATATTGTGTTACACAACATCAATCTGACATGAAACTTGGAAATTCATGTGTTATATGCATTTCGCGGAGAAAATTTTGTGCTTCTTGTAATACACAATAATATTTATGAAGCATTGTTGTGAGAAGAATTTTACTTTGGGGAAGAGAGAAATTTTCCAGGAAAGGAAACATAAAATTAAGGTGCAGGTAGGTGTATGGGAAGCATGATCACGTAATCAGAAAACGTATTGAAACCTGTTTTCGTGGATATCCATCTTTCAAGCACATGCACACATTTAACACATTTAGCATGTATCAGTCAGTGCATTTTGATTTCTATGAGGAATTTAGCCAATCTTTATTTTTAGCATGACTCTGCCCAACGGCGATTTCATGCAGCATCTTTGTTTAACTTTATATCATGTGATAATGGACATTATGCCTGCACCACCAAAGGCCCGAGTACTGTTTGCTTTTTCGGAACTTACTGTATTTTCTTTTTGGATGGTTTGTAAGTAGCATTTATCGCTTCGTATACATTCTTTGCATAAACGTAAAATAGTCCGTAGCTATCATGTTAAAAAGGAAGTTCGAAATTCGCAATCCTAATAAAATCTGTTCATTTTTTTTTCCTCTATAAAAGGTATTCTCCGATTGGTTCAAATCATCGACTGACCCCTATAAAAGCCTGATTTTTTACTTACTTACCGAGGAACTCATTAACTTTTGGGTGGTGTTCATCATAAAATAAACTTTGCAGGAATTACTGGATGATTATCTTTACTTAGAACTTTTTATCTCTACCTTACTCGAATCATTATTTTGGTGACCCAAATCACATAATTACACAAGAAAAAAAAGGTTATTCTATAAAAAGATAAACAACAATAATAAAATTCCTTTAATTTATTCTATTCTTTATATTGTTTGGCCTAAGTCTTGTACATTTCGGGAGTTTAAGCATAAACTTCATGAAATTAGAATTTTTTAGCTGACTCTGTAACGATGTACGATATATAGAGCTCTCTTTCGATTTTTACGTTACCTTATTAAAGGAAAAATAACGATTTCTTTGTCCTTTCAACTCATCCAAGATGTCATTCAAGTTAAGAAAACCCATTGTCATCACTGTAAACACTGTAAACGAGCAGACCACCGTCAGCGAAGCGATAAACGACGTTCATCTCCCAACAACAACAACAACGATCGATGCGCTCCCCCTTAATCGGACACCATCTAATCAAAGGTCTTTCATACCGTCAACTTTTAATGTCTCCTCGCCGTCATCAATTTCGACATCCGTATCGCCCGCATCATCTGGCGGCACGCACTCTTACCGTTTTTTTGGATCAAAAAAATCGAAATCACAATTACGTAAGAGCATTTCGATGGTGAACGTGAGATGGAATGATTATGAAGTGTTCGCTCATAATTCTGGATATAACAATAATTTAAAAAATAATTTGGAATTGATGTCAACTAACAAGGCTAATACGCCCAATGAAGTTACATCATCGTCTCTCAAAAATGCAAAATCCCATTTGGCGAAAACAAACGTGACCACAGCAACACCGAGGACGAAAAAAGGCGCAGATAATAATAATTATAATTATAATAATAATAATGAACAAATAATCTTACGAAACGGTGTTGCAGCGAACGGAAATAACAGTTTGAGCTTTGGAATAGCGTCCAATGGTGGATCGCTCGCCACGAACAATACTGTTGGTGATAAGAGTGGACTCATCTATAAAGGATCAATGAGAAAATGGCGTAGTTTTTCTAGTCTCTATGATAAAAACTCAGAGACTAGTGGAATAAAAATTGAACCAACACTAAGAGACATACGAGAGGAGAATATTGAGGATTTCAAGAAAAAAAACATAAGGAATTTACGTGAAAAGAAGCATTTAGAAATAGTAAAAGGAAGTAAGAGTGATAGAAGCTTGAGTAGTGGTGCAGGAAGGAGAGCGGAAAACGATAAAGAAGATATTTCTGAAGATCCGAGCGTGAAAAGCAATGTTAGGGCGATCTACGAGTATTACCATATTACCTCGCCCAAAGGTGATGTGATTAGCGATCAGTTTTGTGGAGTGGCTGATAGGTGAGGTTCATTACCTAAGGTTTGATTAATTATGTGAAAATCAACAACACGCGTGAGAATGTGAAACATTCATTCCTTTCGACCTTGATCTGAAAGATATGGGTTCATTATAATAGAAGAAGAGGAAAAATGCGAATTACTGGGCTTGACACCACATGAAATAAGGTATTTCTGAGTTTTCAGAAAGCAGTCGAAACCTCAAAATTATTCTTTGCTAATTCGTCCCAAACAATCGAAATAGATTTGAGAAGAAGGAAGCCCAAAGATCAGAGAAATGGGTCAAATGGGTTTCCGCGAGCAAATTTGTGAAAAAATCTGGCAACTTTGGAATCACCAGTTATGTATTTCCTTGGGATACCAAGGTAATTATTTTAAGACAGTTATAATTATATATATATATTACCGAGACAAAATTTTAATGGTATTCTTGTTATTTATTTAAGTTTCAAAACAGAATATACAAAGGCATACCCGATTCTTGGAGGCAGCCTGTGTGGTAAGAATAAAAAACGATGACATTTATTATCATCATGTCTTTTTAAAAACGAATGTTTCTTTTCAGGCATTTCTTATTAACAAATGGAGGCGCCGAATCGGAATTTGATGATAATTTGATTCGAACTTACAATGTCAGTTTCTTCTATTATATTCACCTCAATTTCGTCAACGATTTCTCATCGAATGTAATCCTATTTTTACAGACATTATTAACATTACCATCACAGCACGAGCGGCAAATAGACCTGGACATACCGCGCACATTAAATTCACATATCATGTTTCGAACTAGATATGGACCTGGGTATTTTGATTAACAATATTTTCATCTTTAACTTTGTTTTACAAATAATTTATCCTTCTTTCTGCCTTGTCTTGGATATATGTGTAACGTAACAGCCAAAGGGCACTATTCAATGTATTAAGGACATTCTCAAATTATGACAAACAAGTGGGATACTGTCAGGGGATGACAAACATTGTCGCCATACTGTTAATGTATTATGCTGAAGAAGTAAGTATTAATGCTTGACCTTGTTTTCTTTATTTTTTTTGTATTATTCGACTGACTCATATTCTTTGATTTGGTGATGTATATTATATGCTTCTTCGTGATTAATCTAGAGTGCATTTGTAATGTTAACAAAATTATTTACCAGATGTAATCTACACAATTTGTATATACCCGGCTTTCCCGCATTATTGGAAAGCTTTTATGTGCAGGAAAAGTTGATGACGTTGTATGCACCCAAAATTTCTGAAAATTTTGTGAGTATCGTCTTTTTACGCTTTCTAGTGTTGCTTTATTTGACAGGTAATTATTTCTACTAATAATCAATCCACATTCCCTAAATAAAAAGAACCAATTACAAATCAACTGCACAGCCTACGCAACAAGGTGGTATATCACGTTATTCGCAGGTGATGTGGTGCCTCACCATACCATGTTAAGGATATGGGATTTACTGATGCTAAATGGATTTGACGTGTTGTATTTTGTGGCCGTTGCTCTGTTGAAATATCACAAAAGTATGTTGAAATTTCCTCGAAATTGCGCTTTTTACTTTAGATGATCTTCTCAAAATATAAATTCGTTAATATTTCCACGAACTCTAACTTACATTTAATAGCCACCTTATTAAGTTCGACGTTCGAACGTATCATGATATTATTATCAACCACGTTGACGATAGAGGATGACGATCGGTTGGTAAGGAAAGTAAGCAAATTGTATGAACGAAGAGGAAGGAAAAGATTGGTTGATACTTTAAAAGCCGAGTATAGGAGTCAAATTAAATAGTGAAATGAGAAACCTTTCTTATTATTATTTTCACGGGCTGTGTAAATAATGGTCTCGAATTTTTTTGTACAGACGTCTAAAACATGAAAAAGGCATCCATAATAATTCCTAAATAAATGAGACTAATGAAAAATTTTATTGATGTATATCTGTATACGGTATATCATTTTATTTAATTAATTATCAAATAAACAAAACATCTATTTATAGAACTACAAATTAAATTTAATACTTTTTAAAAAAGTAAAAAAAGTAAGATTAACAAAATTAATTAAACACTTGATGAAATTAATAAAACTAATGTTATATTAATTTATGATTTTCTTAATATATCTATTTTATTAATTATCTACATGTACAGTATGTATAGAGATGCATTGATCGAACGTGTTAAACATGTAAAAAAAAATTTTTTTTAATAATAAAAGCATCAAAATAAAATAAAATAATTAAATAAAATAAAATAATAAATAAATAAATAATTTTTTTAAAAATCTTATTATTTAAATCATTATATTACTTATTATATTATCTATTTTATTACTATTACATTATACAGTATATTCTATTATTTATATAATATTATATTCTATATATTGCAAATATTATATATTTCAAAAATATTTATTGTTATTTTAATTATTTTAAATTTTTTATTTTAAATTATATTGGCTTTGATCTTTAGTAATTTTCTTACAAAATATTATACCATTATAAATTTTATAATATATTATATTATGTCAAAATTAAAAAAAAAACATTAAAAAAATATTATTTTCTTTTTTTCAAAAATTTTAAATTTTAAAAAAAATAATTATATATATATTTGATTTATAAAATTTTTTTTTTTTGGTTTTTTTTAAAAATTTTGTCTATCTCAATTTGATTCTAAATTTTTGGTCATATTAAAATTTTTAAATAATAATTGGTTAATCAAAACATAATAATAAATATATATAAACATATAATTTTTATATTTTTTATTTTAAATAATAATAAATTTGATAATATTATTGATTATAATAAAAAAAGCAAAATAATAAAATAGTTATTTTGTTAAAAAATAATTTGATATACTGTATATACAATATATATATTTGTATTGGTTTTATTTTTTATTTTAAAAACTCTTTCCTGTAAATTATTTTTTACTTGAAAATTTTTTTATTTAATAATAGGCCTTCCAAGAAACTTTTATTTCTCAAGCATTTCCAAGTGCTTACAGTCACTAAATAACTCCTACCATAGAGTATCTTATAACTAACAACAGCAAAAAACAGTTCCTATATGTAACAATTTACCAGGATTGAAATCAACTCTTTCAAATTTTTTATCTTAATTTCAGTAATAACAAAATCATCAAAACAGAATTCACAAGAAACCTTCTCATTTCTAACTTGATAAACTTCCCTAACTAATTCCTTATCATAAAAGAAGAAAAAAATATTAAAAAAATTGTGAAAACAGACTCCACAAATGATATTCATATCCTTAATTTTACAATAGATATCAATAAAAAAAGAAATCAAAGCAGACTTCATCAAACTCATGTTTCTCTCTCCAATATCAGAAACATACATTCAACTTCCAGTATATTAGCAATATTGTAGAAAAAATAAAAAAACCTAACTAAACACTAAATTCTATAACTATCTTCAAGAATTTCTTTCCATCTCCCAAGGAATAATCAAAAACCCCAACTAGCTTATTGCTAAAAATAATCATCTACCTATCACTTTTCTTGTTATCCAAAAAAGAAATATTTATCAAACAGCCACAATGTATATACATGCAAACTCCTTGTCCATCACTTCAACCTCTATCCAATCTAACAATTCTATAGAAATCAGCGTAACAATAAATATATTAATGAAACTATTTGATTTGGATCCTGTTAAATCCAAACAAATTGAACAAACTATCATTACTTCAACTTCTTCTTTTGACAACCACATGACAACTCCCAACTTTAGCATAAATATTAGTGAAATTCTTTCTATAAGCCAATCAAATTTAATAATAATTAATAAAATAATTGACATTAACAAACTTGCTAAATCTTCTTTTCAACTTAAAACTACACCATATGTTTGATATCCTCCTTTGAATAACAAGTTCAAACAGAACTTCAAGAAATTAGAGATAACAAATAATATGAAAATCTCAGGACCAATATTGAAAAACTAGTTAATAATCTCTTTCGTATATCAAATAATATACAAATTATCATCAAAACTATCAATACTATTATTAAACTTTCCAGATATTTACTCTATTATCTAAAAGCAATAATGAATAAAGTCAGTTTCAAAAATCATACTTTCTTTAGTTCTTTTATCCAAAAAGAAAATCTCATATCAACTTATTAAAAAGAATTCATTGAAATTAAAAAAGATTTTTAAAACAAATACAAAAGAAAAAACAATATACACTTTATTAACTTTGACACAAAAAAAAAATCTATATTATAATTTGTATCATTCTATTAATTATCTATCTATATACCATTGATATCAAAAACATATCCTATTATAAATTAGCTAACCTTCGTATCTATTTCATCAATTATTTTATTAAAAAATCAATTTTTATTCTCAACTATACCACAATTAGAGATGAACTCAAAAAATATCTTATTGACTTTCTTTTTAATCTTCTATCTGAACCATCTGAAATCCTACCCCAAATCAAAATCAAACTCTTTACAAAACTTCTAATAACAAATAAAGCCAATTTAATTGCAACTCTTCATATCTTAGGATCTCACTACAAATTCGACAAGCTGCTTAATATCTATTTCAAGAAAAACTTTCATCTTTCAGAGAACCCAAATAACTTATTAATTAAATATATGGATATCTTTTCCATTAAAAAAAGAAATGATTTTACCAATTTTTTCAATTATAAAAATTTTTTTCACAAAGAATACAAAGTCCCTTATAAACTACCTAATATATACTTCAACCTTCCACTACCAAAAAAACCTCTTCCTACAACATATTAACTCCTTGACTCTAAATTCAAGTATCTATTTCTCTTTAATTCAAGAGATAGCAACTTCACTCTACAAGAAATTATAATGTTACTCAAAAAAACATATTATTTCAAATTTCTATTCAATGACTTTTTCTTTATCAGAACAAAACTTCACTCTACTCCTGCCAGAGTCTCACTAGAAACCAATATTCTTCTTCCAGTAATAAACTCCAAAGATATTTCTCTTCTCCTTAATATACTAGCAAAAAAATATATTTTCACTAGTCCACTCTCTAAAGAATAGATTAACCTCTTTCCACATCAAACTTTTACTCAAACCCTAACCAATAATACAAATAACAATGAACAATCCATCCTAACAAAACCCATTCTTCCAACTAATTACCATGAAATAAATAAAAAAGCAGGAACCAACTTTCCAATTACCAAAAAAGTTGAAGTTTGCTCAAATATTATTAAAGATCATCAATTCTATCAATTCTCAAAAATTCCTAACAGTTGGATCCAAATTCCTATGAAACCTCCTCTTTCCAATTCCTCCAAATTAAAAAATTTTCTTCAGGAAAAACATATATAAATTGAATTTCCAGTTATCAATAATGCCAACTTCATCTCTAAAATTCACAAACTCAAAAAACACTTTAGTTTTCAAAGACTACCAAATAAATACATCACACAAATAGAACTTCTTGAACCTTCAACCAAATTCTTTAAATTTTTTTAATTATTAACACAAACTTAAATACAAACCAATCCTAAAATATCTTAAAATATTCACTTTCAAACCAATCTATCTCTTCTTTACTTTCATCAATAAACTTTCTATATTCTTTTAATCCTTTAATTCACATTTCTCTTTCTTCCAACCTGCTTAACAATTTTTTTATCAAAAAAAATTTTACCCTATCATTAACTTCAATCATCTTTTTACAATCTCTCCAAACTCTCAAAATTGGATTACTAAACATAAGAGGAATCAATGATGAAACCAAACCCAAATGTCTATTAAAACACATCTCACAAGATAACTTTAACATTTTCAGACTCTCAGAAACCAAACTACAATAAGCATGCAATCCAATAAAAAAAATTGTTAAATATCACATCTATTGAAGCAACCATAAGGACAAAAGCCAAACAAAAACTTGCGCCATAATCCATAATGATCTATTTAAGCATCTCTATAAAACCATTTCTTTCAAAGAATATGTAATATCCATTTACTTTCAATTCAAACCAAAAATTAAATTATATATCTTCCAAATTTATCTCCCTTATTCAAGCTCTATTTGCAATGAAGTAATTAAACATATTACAAAAACAATCAAGGAAAACCAAAAAAATAACATCTCACATATTATTATGGGAGACTTTAACTTCACCTTCAAAAAAATCGACTGAAAAAACCCAGCAAACTTTTATATTTTTAAAATTTATAATCAACTAAATAACTACTCTAATACCTTTTATATTCTCCATCCCAACTCCAAAACATATATACACAACAGCCCTACTAACAAAACTAGAATTGATCAAATATGGATTACCAATGACCTCCTACATCTTCTTCAAAACTCAAATATTTATCCAATTGAAGCAGATTTTCAAAGCGACCATCAAATAACCAAAATAACACTAGAACTATATTACAATAAACAAGCAAACAATAGAAAAAAGCATAAAATATATCTCATCAACACTCTAACTGACAACCAATGAGAACTACTTGAATGAAATCTTTAAAACAAACTATTAAACTTTAATTCAAAATTAGCAAACAACACATGGTAATATTTCCACAAAAAATTTAAAAAACTTATTTTTCAAAAACTACTATCAAAAAAAGTTTCAACTCAATGTCCTAAAAATATTTTCTCTGAAAAAGGATTTTCATTATACAATCTTCTTCAAGAAATCAAATACCAAATTGTCTATCTAAAAAAAAACATCTCTATTGACTTACCAACTGATAACTTAATAATAAACAAATTAAAAATCCACTT